TTCCTCGTCATCGAATTTGAACTCAATGATAAATTAATTGTATGTGTCAACAGTACATAAGCATTATCCATTATCAGGCACGCATTAGTCAACTTGGATCACCATGCAAAATCCTATTCTGGGTGCATAGTACGACTTAAAATCTTCTTTCATTTTGTGGGTCCCATACAACTGCATCTTTTGCACCCCCCCCCCCCTGTATGATCCACTTACAGTAATGTACAAAGTTAACCATGTTATATCTTATTGATCCAAACCCATGCATAAAGCAAGTATTTACGTTCTACTAAGAAACGTTAGTTCATGCAGCAAAGACACATGATGAAACTAATCGCCACCAATAAAAGCTTTACATAAAACAAACCCGTGGGTTTCGGGATTTATGAAAATTTCCTGTTAACCTCAGCCTTCTTTGCTGTTTAAAACAAATATAACCTATAATATTTGTGATAACTAGTTAGTCTGACTTGTTAAAAGGGTATTACTAGTAGGAGTTAAAGGGCTAAGGTCAGATGATCATATAGAGCGATCCCCCGGTAGGACGGCGATAAGTTTACGGATTTAAAGCGTTAGAATCCGGGGTTCGATTCCCCCGCAGTGAACACAACAGATAGCCTATGGTAGCTTTGCTCTAAAACAAAAACAAACACATATAGAGCGTTCACTTGGGGTGTGAGAGATGCGGGGAAATCACTTATAAGTGACCGGTCTACCAAAGTTTCTACCATGCTGAGCCCCTCGACGTGGATTCCTGTACGTGGTGAGGGGACCTCCCAGGGAAGGTTCTGTATTTTCAGTTACTTTCTCTGGGATCTAAACATCCTGGTGGTTGAGTGGTGTCTGGGGCACTGCAACACATCACTTTGGCCTTTAATTCCTGTAGACGGGTGGCCTTGGGGTGGCCCCCTAGGGTCAATCGGCTGGTCCACTGGGGCTAGGATCAACCGAGTACCAGTGTTGGGCGTTCTCAACGAGTGTTGTTGACATCGTGTCTGATACTGGAGTTTGGGTATAATGCTCATGAAACCCTGGCATTGCTGCAGTGTTCTTGTTTGACATTGTAGTGCGTCCCCTCATAGGACTCCATGGCGGGTGGGGTCAGTGGGCACTGAACCTCTCTCTGTAATTATGGATCCCCCATTCCAAATTTAAAAAAATGTTAAAAATCTGCAAATTGGTAAACGACCACGCCTAGAAGACTCTGAACAGCAGTCTCCATCACAAAGTACATCTGTACCTCGCTTTTTGATCATGCATTCACTGTCTGATAAATCTTTACGGCAAATGTGTCCCTTTTTTATTCAGAAGGGCTTAGAGGGGCTTGCTGGCTCTCCAAAGTCAGTTAAGAAGCTACGTTCTGGAGATATCTTAGTAGAGACTTCCCATTCTAAGCACAGTGAACTTCTCTTAAATTCGAGGGCCATTGGGGATATACCCATTGAGGTTACTCCCCATGCTTCCTTGAATTCCTCACGAGGAGTTACTGTTGAGAGGGACTTGAAATCTATCCCCGAGTCAGAGATCCTTGCTGGTTTCTCCAATCAAGGAGTTTCGGCAGTTCAAAGGATCTCCACTCGTGAAGATGGAATTATGGTGCCAACGTAAGTTTTGATTTTGACGTTTTCATCACCACGTCCACCTGCCACCATT